GCGGATTCTACCAAAGGAAAAGGCGTCGCGAAGGGTTTCCAGGGGAGTTGACATCTAAAGTCCCCCCAACATGGGCAGGGGTTTGTCAGGTGGATGTGAGCAGAAAGGGCCGTCCTGGCAGTGGGGCCAGAGTGAGTGACATCAAAGGGGCGTGGGAGAATGTGACACATCAGGCAACTCAAGCACAACTCAGAGGGCCTGGGTGCCGGACCAGGACGCTGAATCCTGTAAAACAGCGGGAGGCCTGGAGAGCTCTGCGCTGCGGAATGGCCTGACCAGCCTCGAATTGGACAGCGATTACTCTGGCTGACAGAGGAATGAGCAATGTCCTGGAGGAAGGGAGATCAGACCAGGCAGAGATGAAATCAGAGACGATTAGTGTGGAAGCAACCAAGAGTTCAAGGGAAAGCTGGGCCTGGTGGTGCAGGCCCAGACTGAGGCAGGCGGTCAGAAATTTGAGCCAGCCTAGACTACAAAGCAAGATCTTATCTTTAAAAAAGTTCAAGTCCGGCATAAGCACCTGCCTTGCAAGCAGGCGGTCGTGAGTTCGATCCCCAGTACCGATAAAAATGAAAAAGACAAAAAAAAAAAAAAAAAAGTTCAAGTCGGCTTGGTGGTGGGCTTGGTGGCGCATGCCTGTAATCCCAGCACTCGGAGGCTGAGACGGAAGAATTGCTGTGAGTTTGAGGCCAATCTGGGCTACATAATGAGTTCAAATTCAGCCTGGATTACATAATGCACACCAGCCTCAAAAAACAAAAAGTTTATCGACCTGGATTACTGAGTGAAAGATGTAGTCGATCCTTTTTCTCTTTTTTTGGTGCTACTGGTATTGACCCCAGGGTGCTTTTTCACTGAACTCTTTTTAATTTTATTTTTGAAATAGGATCTCACTAGGTTGCCCAGGCTGGCTTCAAATTTACCATCCTCCTGCATCAGCCTCTCAAGTGCTGGGATTTCAAGTAAGTGTGCACCACTGTACCCAGGGGTGTATCTTTTAACAAGATGACAAATTGTTTTGTATATGTGTTAAGCATTTTATCTTTAAGTACAAGGTCTCAGAGGCAAGTTTCTAATCTTCCAAATCTAGCTATTTATGATACATTTCCGAGTGAGGAACTTTCCCAGCCTGACTGTAATGCAATAGATATCTTCCATTTATTTATTTATTTTGAGACAAAGTTTTACTATGCAGTTCACACTGGTCTCAGGCTTACTTTGTAGCTCAGGCTGGTCTTGAACTTGAATTTGCAAAGACACTCCTGCCTCAGCTCCTGAGTGCTGGGATAACAGGTGTGTATCACCGTTTATTTTCCATGGGGCTGGGGATTTAGTTCAGTGGCATAAGCACCTGACTGGCAAGCTCGAGGTCATGAGTTCAGTCCCTGGTACTAAAAAAGAACCATTTGTTTTCTTTCTTTTCTTTTTTTTTTTTTTTTTTTTTTTTGGTCTTTTTTGAGACAGGGTCTCACTATGCAATTCAGGCTGGACTTGAGCTGGACTTGAGTTCATTTTGTTGCCTAGGCAGCTCGGGAACTTGCAACAATCCTCCCGCCTCAGCCTCTCAAGTGCTGGGATTATGGGCATGTGCCACCATTCCCAGCCCATTTATTTTCATACTTTTTTTTCCTCACTCTGATTTACAGGGACTGTCTTCAAGTCAGCATAAACTTAACAAATATTTGGCCAATTCTAAAATTTGGATATACATCTGTTGCACAATAAGTCATTTAAATCTTTCAGCACGAAAAACACTGAATGTAAGATATGAAGAGGTAGCGTACCACTAACGGTACCATGAGAATCTGCTCTAAGTATTTTATTTTTCTGGGATGAAGCCACCCCCTACCCCCACGCTACTATACAATCAAGAAAACCACTCTTTCAGTTCAGGGGATCTTTTCCTTTTTCTTTCTTTCTTTTTTTTTTTTTTTTTGTCTTTTTCCTTTTTATTGGTACCGGGGATCGAACCCACGACTGCCTCCTTGCAAGGCAGGTGCTTATGCTGCTGAGCTAAATCCCCAGCCCCTCTTTTTCATTTTTAACTATTCTGGATATTAAACCCAGGGCCTGGCACCCCTTAGTTACTAGTCAGAGCACTGCAGACAGTCAGAGCACCAGCCCCAGGTCTTGTCTGAGGTGGCAGGAAATAGGTTTCTGCAGCCGACGCTCCCCTCATTGATTCTCACATGGTGTGCTGCTTTGAAGCAGGGCAGGCTAATGCTTCAGTGAGACCTAGGAATTTTTCTCTCTGGTTTCCTGTTTGGTTTTTTTTCCCTGATTGTTTTTCTTCAGAAGTTTCAGGAAGCTCTCTTGGCTGAGTGCTTAATATGCTCAAAATACACCTTCATTCTCTTGGCAAGAATCTTGCCCTTAACTTGCTTATTTCCGACAATGCCAACTGCATGCTGGGCAACACTGTAGGTTCTTGCAGTTTTGCCACGGTGACATTTGTGTGGCCTTCCTACTTGAACAGTACCCATTTCCTTGATGTCCACAATATCTCCATTTTTATAAATCCACATATGTGTGGCCAAAGGAACTGCTCCATGTTTTCTTTTTTCTTTTTCTGACCTCTGCAAGCAAAACTCCATGTTTTCTGAAAGGCCTAGAGAATATGCCCTGGGCTCCTCTCCCCTTACCTTTGTGTTCCTCATTTTAGCAAATTACTGGAAGATGATAGATCTATCCAAAGGACAAAATTATAAATATGATTTTGCCAAGAGTGAGGGAAATTTAAAGTTTTTATATTTTTCCCATTGATTCCAAGAAGAAATTAGGAATACAGGTAAGGTGACAACATAGATTACTGATAATAAATCATATCACATTGATTGTTGGGCTGATCCTGGAATTGGTTTTGGAGGAAAGCACTCCAGAGAGCTGAAAAGACTTGCCCAGGGTCACATAGGATTTGTTTGGTTGGTTTTTATTTATTTTTTATCGGAACCAGGGATCGAACCCACGACCATGTGCTTGCAAGGCAGGTGCTTATGCCGCTGAGCTAAATTTCCAGCCCATTTGTTTGGTTTTTAAGTAAAACACAGATTTAGAACCTTTTAGGGAAAACAGTTTTCCTCCACTATATTGGGTAACATGGACGCATTTAGAACAATTTGAACAGCTGTGTGTAGTGTTGCATCCCTGTAATCTCAGCATTGTGGAAGACTGAGGCAGAAAGATTGCAAATTTAAGCCTGGCCTGGGAAAATTAGAAAGACCGTGTCTCAAAATAAAAAAATACAAAAGGACACCCACACAAACAGCAGGACTGGGGGAGCAGTTCAGTTATAGAATGCATATTTGCAAGTTACTGGACATGAAAAAACAAAAACAAACAAAAAACGATGGGCACACATGCACAAAGACGATTTGGAAAACATCCAAAAGTAGAAAAAATTGTTTAGTCCTTTATGGCTTCACAAAGAATTACTGGTAATATTTTAGTGTAGCTTGCTTGACTGTTCTACTCTCTGCATCTCTCTGTCTCTGTCTGTCTGTCTGTCTCTCCAGATTTCATGCACTTTATTTTTCATATGTAATTAACTCTATGTTGTAGCTACTGCTAGAGCATGAGTCCTCTGGACATAGACTGTTACGTGGGTTTTCACAAGATGGTGAGTGACAGGGGATGGGGGTTTAGCTCAGCAGCATAAGCACCTGCCTTGCAAGCAGCAGTTGTGAGTTCGATCCCCGGTACCGATAAAAAAGAAAAAGACAAAAAAAAAAAAAAAAAAAAAAAAAAGATGGTAAGTGACTTTCTGGTAGTGAGACTTGGTGAACACAGTCTTTTTCTAGACGTCAGGGGTCAGGTAGCTGTAGGTCTTGTGATGGCATCAAAGTTGGCCTTGACAAAGTTGCCCAAGTGGCCAGGCAGCCGTTGGCCAAGGGGTAGTGGTCATTAATGCAGCCAGCAGCAGCAGCTTCTTGGGCACAGGGGCTGAGAGAATGACAGTGCCTCTGGGGGCAGGGATCAGACACCACCACAGAGAACCACAGTGGCCTGTTACTTCACAAGGCACAGTGTGGAGCTTGCAGATCTTGTTCCCCCACTAGCCTCTCTGCATGGGGACAGTGGAGAGCTTGGCCAGGATGATGGCCCACAAATATCAGTGGCTACTTCCTTGGAGCACTTTATACTTAGACTGATGTGACTGTTGTAGCCCCCAATGATGACAAATGTCTTGAACCTGGTCCAGTGGCCAGCATGAGTTTGTTTTGGTGCGACATCATCTTCAGAATTCATTCTTGAGGAGTGTGAGTGTGGCCCACGTAAAGTCAGTCATCTCAGACCCCTTGATGGGCAAGGAGAAGAAAGAAATTTCCTCCAAGATCTTGATCTTCCTGTCCTTGACCAAGTGGCCTAGCTTGGTAACAGGAATCTGGATGCCCCTTGTCCTTGGCCTTTGCACAGTGAGCCTTGTGGCCTCGAAGGCCACTGCCAGAGCCACTGTGGCCTCCAGTGCCTGGGCCCAGGACCTCCTGCTGGCTACACCAGCAACATCAACCATTTAGTATTTTCCCAAGGAAGAAGCAGTTCTTTTTCTTAAACATTTATTTTCTTAAAAAAACAAAGAAAAATTTATTTTCTATATTCTTTTAACATGTTTTAGTGTCATGGGTTTAACTCAGTGGTAGAGCACATGCCTAACATGCATCAGGTCCCATGTTCTATTCCTAGGAAACCCTCCCCCACAGAAAGAAAAGAAAGAAAGAAACAAAGAAAGAAAATTGGTTTTAATTTGCATTTTACCTTATAATGCTTTATTATTAGTCATAATTTTTTTTTTATTGGTACCGGGGATCGAACTCACGACAACCTGCTTGCAAGGCAAGTGCTTATGCCGCTGAGATAAATCCCCAGCCCCATCCTCAGCCCTTCTATTTTTTTCAATAAAAAATAATCAATGTGATAAACATCTTTGCCTATATGGCTTTTTCTGAGTTTTGGTTCCATCCATTAACATGTATTTTAGTATATGTGTTCACTTCAGGAGCACATTTACTAAAATTGGAAAAAATAAAAAAATTGGAATGATACAGAGATTAGCACACCCCCTCACTCACAAGGATGACATGTGAATTCATATGAAAGCGTTCCATATTTTTACATTTTAGCTGTCTGAGGTGACTATAATATTGCCATAGGGACTTGTGGAGAAAGGGTGGGGAGTTGCTTGGTGTAGTGTTTTAACTGTCAGAATCAAGCAGTCCATTTACTCTTCCTTTTAAGAAGTGTGTTAGTCCAATTTTAAGAGAAATCTAAACTCCATCAGCTTTTGATAGTGTCTAGGTTTTGGAAATGTTGTCAATCTGCAATTAGCATTCAGAATGCCGTTGGCAGGCCAGTTTATGAGATGGCATTCAAGTCCTGTCAAAACACTGGAGCCCGATGTTATTAACCAAAACTGGTGCCATCACCTTTATCTTCTAAATAAACTCTATTTTATTTTTATTTTCAACAACAACAAAAGAAATGGAATGACTAGCCAAAGGGAAAGAATAAGCAGGTGTGGTGGTGCATCCCTGTAACCTCAGCACTCAGGAGGCTGAGACAGGAGGATCACTGTGAGTTTGAGGGCAGCCTGAACTGCATACTGAGACTCTGTCTCAAAATAAATAAATAATAAAGACAGAACATTCTAGGAATCTTTTTTTTTTCTGTACCAGGGATGAACTCATCACTTTGAGCCTCTTAGGCGGGTGCTTATACCTCTGAGCTAAATCCCCAGCCATTCTAGGAATCTTGATACAATACTGCCAGTTGTTACAACTCATTTTCCGGAGCCTTGCACTAGCACTCTTGCTAGTATTTATATTTTTTCTACCTCACTTAAATATAAAGAACAAAATTCCTTAAAAAGGACAGCTTTTGACTAAGGATATAATCCAGTGGAAGAATGTTTACCTAGCATATGTGAGGTCCTGGATTTGATCCACAGCACCACGATAGAAAGAGAGAAAAAAAAAAAAAGTGGGGAAAAAGGCAAGTTTGTAACTGTACCAAGCAAGCCCTTCCTCAGCACTCAGGCCTGTGAGAGTTGAGCGTTCCAAGTCTTTCCTCCTCCCTCCCGTTTCCCTGCTGTTTCTCACTTGAACACCAGATGGCAGACGAGTCCCATGCCAGGTGGTCATGACGCTTTCCCTGCGATGAGAACATCGCTTATGGTCCCCCACGTATTTCTTCTCTGAGATACACAGCACGGAAGGCATCTGCTTTTTATTGGAAGCAAGATATGTAAGAAGGCAGGATTTCAGCAAGGTATATCAGAGCAGTCAGCCTAAATTCTGAGCCTTAAATTATTGTGTCCTATGCAAAAAACAAACAAACAAAAACTAGTTCCTTGGAAAGAAGCAAATGGAAATTGAAAGTCAATTGTTAAAATTCCACATATTCTGGATTTCCCCCAGTTAATAATCATAAAAAGTTTACAACCAGCAAGTTACAGAGGCTCTTCTGTTTTAATTGTTAGGGTTTAGAATCGGTGAGAACATCCTTCTCCAGATTTTAAAAGCCAATTCCAGCCCCTCCGGGGCTTGTCCTCCAGCACTCATTTCCCCATCCCTTCCCAAAATTGCGGGGTAACTGACTCTTAGATGAGTTTGACTTTCTACTCTGTTTTGTAACAGAGGTTCTTTTGGTGAGGTTCTTTGTTTGAAAATGCACAATAAAAATGGCTTTAGAATGACTTCAGAGGACTCTCTTTTTCTGGTGCCAATAACAGATTCCAAAGCTGCTATTATCCGAGGTGGGTGATAGGATCCCCTGAGACTGTTTAAGTATCAGTTTTCAAAGTGCTTAGGAACCTGAAATATCTTGTATGGTATATTTGCAGGTGCATAATTGGCCCAGTGCTCCAGGGGTTATAAAGGCTGCCTTCCTGTAGTTGGAATGGACAGATTTAGCCTCTCACTGAAATTGAAGGCTGCAATGTCGATAACAAATCTGATTCTAACTCTCCTGTGTCACTTCAGCCCAAAGGTGCCTTTGTCTCCCCGGAGAAAGAGGCTGGAGGTAAGTGAATGGCCCTTCACCAGAACCGTGTAGAAAACATTGCTAAGGAAAGACTTTTGTCCCAAGAGTGGAGGTTTAGGGTTGTTGCGTGTGAAGCAAATTGGCTTTGTTCACAGCCAACCTGCCTGAATGCAAGGATTGCTGAGGTGACTGGAGCCGTGGTGCGGTGAACTGCTTTTAAAGCGGCTTTCAGTGGGAAACTGAGTGCACAATGGCTTTATTTTTGTTAGACATAGTTCTCCAATCTGGCTTTTTTTTTTTTTTAACTGCACGAACCAAAATAAGTCTGGGTAAGCTTAAAAGGCTGCCTTGATGTCAGTAGGAAAATGGATATTGTCTCTCCTGAATGTGTCTGAATGGTAGTACATAATCCTAACTACATCCAGATAAGAATACACCCCCGCCCGTAGAAAGCTTTCCTGGAATAGAACAGCGCTGAGAGTCTTCACTGTGAGGCTTGATGGCTCCGACTTGTCTTACTAAAAACTTCTAAAGAAATAGTTCATCCGCTCTCTCATGCTTCCATTTGTAGTTAATACTTATGTGTACTTAGTGGTGTTCTGAACCTCTTTTATTTATCCCTCAAGGCCCCTGGCATCTGATGATACCTGTATAGAGGACCTTTCATCCTACCAGATACAGGGTGGTGTTTAGTGGAGAAGGGGCCAGGCGGGAGGAAAAGAGCCCATGTTTTTTTCTCTTAAGTTACTTGACTTAGGAAACCAGTCAGCTCTTTTGAAGATTAAATGTGTCATTAAGACATTAAACTCTTCAGTGGTGAAGGCTCCGGTGAAACTGCTTCTCTCAGACAAATCAGGTGGGGGATGTAGGTGTCACATTCAAATCAAAAAGGTGCTTCTCGACAGGAAAGATTTAATCAGCTCTCCTTCCCAGGATCGGCTGCCAGCTCTGAACATTTACTTGTCTCTGTTCCAGGGAGGAGACACTACTAATTATGGGAGAAATTCCCATGGATACAGAGAACAATTATCTTAGCTGGGGAGTCAAAACTCTGATCAAGAGGGCCATAGGGGGAAAATGTCCCCAACATTCTCCAAAGAAATTCCCAAATTGTCAAGGGATATCCTCTATAGGAGTGTCCTCCTCAATCTGGCATTTGAAGACCTGGAAACATCTTTTCTGTCATTTTTCTGACTCAGGTTTTGAGAATCCTTTTGAGAAATAGATTTTCCTTTTTTTTTTTTTTTTTTTTTTTCCTGAGATAGGTCCTGCTATGTAATCCACTCTGGTCTTGAATTCACTGTATAGTCAAGGCTGGCTTTAAACATGTGATGATCCTCCTGCCTCAGCCTCCTTAGTGCTGGGATTACAGGTATGCAATATCATACCTGGCTGGGAAGCAGAATTTAAAAGTAATCTCTTGGGACCAGGAATATAGCTCAGTGGCATTGTGTCTGCCTGGCAAGCACAAGGTCATGAGTTCAATTCCCACTACCAAAAGAAAAAAAAAAAGCATTATCTTGCGTATAAACCCTACTTAGGAAGCTAAGACAGCAGGATACCAAGTTTGAAGCTAGCCTGGGCCACTTGATGCGGATTTCTCTCAAAATGAAATATAAAAAGGACTAGGAGTGGGGGGCTGGGGATTTAGCTCAGCGGCATGAGCACCTGCCTTGCAAGCAGACAGTCGTGAGTTCGATCCCCAGTACCGATAAAAATGAAAAAGACAAAAAAAAAAGACAAGGAGGGGCCAGGGATTTAGCTCAGCTGTATAAGTGCCTGCATGGCGGGTATGAGATGCATGAGTTTGATTCCCATTACCCAAAAGGAAAAAAAAAAAAAAAAGACTAGGACTATAGCTCAATAGTAGAGCACCCTTGGGTTCAACCCAGTACAGATAAAGTTTCTTTTATCCAAAGATTATTGCATAAATTTATCTGGAAAACTAGTAGTGGTGCATGCGTATAATTCCAGCACTGAGGAGGCTGAGCCAAGAGGATCATGAATTCAAGGCCAGTCTGGACTACATAGAAACATGTCTCAAAAAAAAGAGTTATGGATTATAGCTCAGTGGCATAAGCATCTGCCTGGCAATGCAAGGTTCTGAGTTCAATTCCTGGAACCAAAAAAAAAGAAAGAGGAAAAAAAGTTCACAGTATCTTCAAGAACCCAGAATGAAAGTGAAAACTTCACCAAGAATAATTCTCACAAATGACAGTATCTAAAAAGAGGCAGAGTTGGCCACCAAGGCAGCCTAAGGAGCTCAAGCACTTGGAACCTGTTGCTTTGTCCTTGGCGAAAACACCTCTGGATCTTTTCTACTCCAGCAAACCTAACCTTCCCGGTGGCAAGAAGCCTAGATTGGAGTGAGCTTCCCCACTATCTGTTTGAACTTATATTCTGCTCTTCTTTCTCCATTCTGCAGGGCACCTGCTCCCTGCCCCTCCCCCACTCCTCCAGCTGTCTGTCTCATTTGTGTCAATTAAGAATTACTGTTGCTTACTTTAATTGAATGAACTTCCCTGTACAGAATCCCAGCCACAAACAGGCCATTAGCCACCTTTCCCATTGACCAAAATAAAATTTCTAAGAACACCAGACATACAAAGGTGCCTTAGAAATGAGCAAAGGTAGCACATGCCTGACAAGCACAAGGTCCTGAGTTTCATTTCCAGTATAAAAAAAAGAGCAAGGGAAACCTAAAAAGGAAAGATGGCAAGATTAGGTTCCCACTTGGGCATAGTGGCACACACCTGTGATCCCTACACATGGGAGGATGAGGCAGGAAGATCTCTGCAAGTTTGAGGCTAGCCGGGGCTACAAAGTGAGTTCAAGGCCAACCATAACTACATAGTGAGACTCTGACTCAAAATAAATAAATAAATTTAAAAACTAGGTTCCTTGACAATAACAGATTATATAGTTTGTGGCCCATCAACCATCAGTAATGTGTAGTCCTAGATCATTCAGGTCCATTCAATTTGGTTAAGAGCTTCAGAGATGGATCTTGAGATTTAGTAACCAAAACACCAACTGGAAGATAAAAACGTCTTACACCACTGCCTACTTTACAAAGTGTTTCTAATACTCAGAAAAATGTCTTTCTGTTCATTGAGTCAATAGGTCCTGTTCT